AAACCTATACAAAAAAGATTTATTTTGATAGCCATGAATGTGAAGATGTGGTAGAGTACAGAAATGATTTTTTGCAGAAAATAGCTAGGTTACGAAAATGAATAGCCAGATATAAAGGTGAAAAATTAAACCGTATCTCGCCAAATCTTCTTCTTGGTGAGGCTGAAATTGTTCCTATCACCCAAGATAAAACCACTATTTATGCAAATAATGGTGTGAAAAATATTAGTGCCCAAAGGGTGAATATGGCCTACAGAGAAAATTATTAATAAGAATCAGAATTAACTAACATTTTTAGTCAGCTAATCAGCTGACTAAAATTTTTAATTATTAATTAAAATATTACGTATCAATCAGCTATAATCCCTGATCACTATACCAATATCACTAGGATTAATGAATAATATCCTAAACTATACATGAATAAGCAGAATCTTCATTTCCGCTAATCCCCAATAGACCAGATTATCGTGCAAACTCTTATGATCATAGATTTTTTTCTTCTTGTAATTTTTTGTACGTTATTTTATAAGCACAACAATCCTGAATTAAAACTCAATTAGCTAACCACGACTCGTAAATCATGATCATAATTGCATGATAATATATTGGATCATGCGATGATAAATATCACAAAATTTGTTCTGTCAGAGCAATGATTAGATAAAATGTATTGCTATACGGCACATGTTAGCTAATCATTTGTTTTGACAAAACAAATTTCATGATATTAATCATTGCATAGCCAATATCTTATACATATTATTATTTCTAATATTTTAGTAAGTTGGCTAAAAACATTTTTTTGACTAATTTTTGATTTCTATCTTTGATCACAGAGCTCCATTATTCATATTGGTGATTTTGTCTGTGAATCTATTGGGTGTCTTAAGGATAGAGTATATGTAGATCATTTATTATATGATCTGCATGGCAATTTTTTTTTGTGTAACAAATTACATAGTAAACACAAATCTAATTGGATAATTACATGTTTTAGAAATATTTTTACTATATTTTTTTGTGTAACTTTGGCAAATTTGAGAAATCCTCGGGAACTTTATAACATATGTATGTCCATTTTTTAAAAAATAATATAGCCCCAAAAGTTTTACTACTATAAATAGAAGGTTTGATTTGTATATTACAAAATTTTAGTAAAATTTAACTGTGGTTTTGAGAACTTTTACTAGTGACGTATTTTAATTTATGCATAAAATCCCATTGTACCACTGAGATCATATGATAAATGATCGAAATACACTCTATTCTTAAACTTTCAGACTATGAAATTGGTATAAATAACTTACTTCCTGATTCCATGCATCTCAAATATACCAAAGCAGGTATTGCCATCTATCTAGAAATAAATCGTGATGGTTGGTGGACATGCGATGATTTAGTTAATCAGGTAGTTGAATGTGCTATACCAATATTTGAACGAATACACCTCAACAAGATAGCTCTATTTATGTTTGATAATAGTAGCAATTATGGTTCATTTGCTGATGATGCCCTTTTGGTCTTACAAATAGATATGAAAGATGGTACAAAAAAACTACTTCTTCGTGATGATATAATGCCTGATAGTTCCAAGCATATAATGACCTATATAAACAATGCTAATGTAAAAAGGCCTAAGGGAATTAAACAGGTTCTTGAAGAAAGAGGTTTGTGGATACCAGGCTTTATAAAAAAGTGTGATACATGTAAAAAAATAAGCCTGATCCAAACAACCCAAACTGTTATGTTTCGTGTATTCTTTCAGCTCAACCTGACTTTGCAGCTCAAAGATCACGCATATTAAATAAGTTTTTTTTTGTTAAAAAAAAAAAAAATTTAAAAACCATTACTTACATACATATAAATAATTTAGGTAATTGAAGATGCTGGCTACATGTGCATCTTTTACCCTAAGTTCCATTGTGAATTTAATTATATTAAGTCCGTTTGGGCTGAGGTGAAATGTTATACAAAACTTTACTGTGATTATAATTTTAAAAGCCTCAAAAAAACTGTTCCAATGGCATTAGATTTTGTTAGTTTATTAAAAATTCACTGCTTTGCTTGCCGTTCTGAACAATTTATGAGTGCTTATGAACTTGGACTTTCTGGAAAGCTGCTGACTTTGCAGTAAAGAAGTATTGTTCTTATCATCGAATTTCAGAACAAGTTCTTGAAGAATTCGCTTATTATTAAAAGTATATATGTACGAACTATATGTGTAAATAAAAGTTGTAAAGTAATACTTTAAAGTATATATGTATTTCAATAAACTGTGATTTTAAAAGCAAAAAAAAGTTAGGGTTAGATTTTACGCATAAAGTAAAAATCGTTCAAGGAAAAAGCATCAATGATTGTATATATACAAAATTCTAAAATCTGATTTGTGCAGAATATCTGCACCACAAGATCTAATTTTGATGAAATTTCGATTCTAACCTAAGACCACAAAATTAATTTTTCTTTTTACATTACCTGCTGACCCAACTTTTTAAAATTTAATTTTTTTTACAATAACAATGAATTCAATTCAAAAAAAAAAATTACTTAATCAAAATATAAAGACATATAATAATTACTAATTCAGAAAGTAGAGTAGTATCGGAATATAACCAAGACACCAAATTTCAATATCATCTATCTCAGTACCATCTTAGTAACATTCTCGACTTTAGATATTGTTCTGTATTTAATTTTTTGGGCCAGACCATGACTAGAGGATCTATTAGAACAAGAAAAAACAAGATTCATATGAATACTAACCAACACTCTATCATTTTTATTTTCTTTTCTACTATTATTTATTCTACGTGTGATGATCTCATTACTATTATTATTGAATTCAATATCATCTTTATTGGTAAGTTTTGATAATAACTGGATGTCTTATGCTTATTTATTTCAGCTCCAATTCCATTCTCATGCAAAATCTAATTTAAAATTATATTATCTCTTCGAATTGTCATCTTTGACAAATTAAATACTATTCAAATAATTACGTAGCATCCACATTCACCAGACTTTTGATAAAAATCGGATATACCATACTTGTTTGTTTTAACTCTTACATATTTGATAACATTCATCAAAACTATATATTCTATTTCAGCTTCACATGATCAATTTTGTGACTACAACCATTTTATGATACGTAAGCTAAAGGCGAGTATATTATACGTTAACGTTAAGATCATAAGGTTTATACTACATACCAAATCTAACTTGCACATACTTTCATATAAATAACTTGTTTATACAGCAGTATATACGTGATTTGAGGAAATTTATATAGTAAATATGGAAGTAAGATTCATACGTAGAACAGAATTACGTACATATGTATTAGTTACAATAGATAAGCACTTTAAAAGAAACAAAATTCTAGGTTTTGAATTGTATCCAAATATATACAAACAAAAAGTTGTCACCCTTTATTATTTTTGTAATTTTTTTATATAAGCTACACCTTGTACTTAATAGCCACACAAAATATTTTTAACCATCAACATGGCTTACTTAGTTTTTTTTAGATCTATATAGGAGGATTCGACCTTCGTTAAGAGTTTGGCTTTTGCCAGGAGTTTTGCTTTTCACCAGGGTTTTCGTCTTTCATCATTTGCACAAAATGGCTTTATCTAACAACTACAGTATGATTGTTTCAGCACCGAATCAAGTCTTGTTATGCAATAGAAAATGTGCTAAAATGCTTTTAACAAAAAGGGGATATCTATTTGATACATATATAATACATATAACCTGTAAAATAATTTTAAAATTTTCTAAATTTTTTTTTTTTTTATAAAAAAATGGCAAATACAGAATGAGAAGTTGTCTATATTGTAGTAGAACATAATACCTATATTTTAGGAAGAATCCTTGAATAGGATATAATAACGGTATTGAGAAGCATGGGCTTTAGGAGAGTCGACACTTTAACAGGGTAGATATAGAATTTGTATATACAAAATAAGTTTTCTTATTGATTTTTTGTTGAGTTAGTATATCTGAAATTATACTGCTTTATCTGTGTAATGAAATCTGATAGAGAATTGAAAGCTCATTGTGGTGACTATTTTGATAGTTAATGTTCTTCTCTATCAGTTATGGATGTTCCTGTAGTTATAATTGGCCCTCTATGCATTAGAGAGGCACTTTCTGTACATATTGGGAAGTATTCTGCTAGGAAGTTGGTGAATAGGATATACTCTGACATCGAAGCGCCATGCATCTTTGTTAGTTAACAATGATGACAAATATTCATAATTTATTATTTATTCTATAGTGGACCTGGTGACAGAGATAGAGATATTTTATGTCGAATCACCGGGATCACTATTGTGATTCAATACAAAAACTATAACTGTTAACATTCAATACGTAATTTAATTAGTATTTTCATTACTATATTACGTATAAATATTATATTAATAAATTAAAATCTTTTAATTTAAATTTTTTAGGTCAAGAGGTCATCTTCGCACATAAGACTGTTGTGCAAAGATATGCTTGTGAAACTGGACATGCTACTATTGGCATTGTAGTAGGTCCTACTATAAGTGCGTTCACCCTTGCTGCAGTGGAGGAAATTGACCGCACTAATGATTTGATCCTCTTGGCAGATTGAGACAACTTTTCGGATATTATAGATCTCTTTTTTCTATGAATTTTCTTCTAATACCAAGTTTCTTGTATATACATCTCTCTTTACATATTTCTTTAATTCCAAATCCACCAAAGTGTGGTATATGGATCACTTGAGCATTGACCTCCACGTGGTGTAACCTGGATAACTAACTAACAAATGCTCATTTATCTTTTATGCTTAGATATAATTTTTAGTAAATGTGTACATTCCTGCTCCAAGATTTTTTTGTGAATCGTGAAATGAAATAATCGATCTGGAATTGGCATGTTATTCATGAATCATGAAATGAAGTACTTATTTTAATTAATATGATTATTACATATTATTTTTCTTCTTCTTTTTATATAATAAGAATTTAATTAATATACATAGAATGAAAAAAGTATAAAAGCGATGCCTCTGAAATAAAGTATAACTCAATTAAGTTCTTAAAGAGATTTCTTCTTGTCATAAAGACAATTGTAATAAAATTGTTATTTGTTCCTGTGATCGTAACAAAAATTCATACGTATTATCGATCTTGAAATAAGAGTAAAGGAGAGAAGTATCAGTTAATAATCCAAGCCTTCTTTTTAAAACAAAATACAATTGATCAAACTTTGATCCAATGCCATTGTTATCTCAAATCAGATTTAAATCGATACCGCGATTCTTTAACCACGTGATCTATGTGACAATTGTTAAGAATCTTAACGATTGGAATCGAATATTGAACCCTATTGAACCAAGACTTGGGAAAGAGGTTATCTTCAGCTTCCAACTGAAGCATACAATTACTCAGTAAGAGTACAATTCAAACCTATACTTATCTTAAACTCTAGTATCACCGTAGCAAGACCCGGAAGACCTTAAGATTTCACGCTAATGAAATGCATCTAGTTTTGTCTTTCATCAATTAAAATTTTAAATGACAAAATAATGAAACTGATAAAAGGTGATGGTGACGAACTAAAAAAACTGTAAAGGATGGCAAAACTGACAAAACTGTAAAGATCAGAGGTTTCGTTTTTTGTCATCATGTGACAAAGGTTTCGTCTAACAACTATATCTCAGACCAAGTCCTTCCACATCTCTTTCCACCTTCCAGATTAAGATTTTAGATATCTTGAGACTTGTGTAATAGTTTTAGTATTGAAGTAGTTAGACTAATTAGTTTTTATATCAGACCATTAGTCATTATTTTTTCAACATATAATCTGTTATATATACATTCAAATTTTAATCAAGATATCTTGACACCACATGACCAAGTTTGAATAACTTTTTTTATTCGGATTTTACTATCTTTACAATTAAAATAAAAAAAGTTCATCGAATTTGGCTAGGTGAATGCCGAGATCTTTTTGGTTAATGGTTTGTAAAAAAATTTGGATATCTATTAAATAGAGGTGCGTTAAATATTGTTTTAAACTTTGATCGAAAATATCTACCTAACCAATTCGATGAAATTTTTTCTATTCGAATCCTACTAATGTCTATAAGTAAACCAAAAAAAGTTTATTGAACTTGGCCAGAAGGGTATCGAGATAACTTCAAAGTTTAAAAAGACTATATTAACAAGATTCCCACATAATGCGTAATGTTTAATCACACTAATTTGAAAAGTACTATAATTTTTAATGCTGAATTTTTAACAACCAGATTAGAGTGTCCAGAATTCTGCTACTCTAACTGACAAATCCTGTTGTGATTATTGTTAATTTTGCAGATTTTGCGGTGAAATATAAACAATACTTTAAAAAAAAATCAAAACCAAAAAAAATCAAAAGAAATTGTAATATT